GGGGGGGGGGGGGGGCTGCGTGTGATGGTGGGGGTCTCTCTCTGTCCCCCCGTCCGTCCGTCTGTCCGTCCGAGGAGGAACTGCTCTTCCTTCCCCTCACTCCCGGGGCCGTCTCCTGGATCCTCCTTTCATCTTCCCTGGGCTCGGGGCAGCGTTTTTTAGGGTTATTATTTTGTGGTGGTGCCCCGGGGGCGGGGAGGGGGGGCACAGCAAAAGTTTGGGAGCGGGATTTGGGGGGGGGATCCACTTGGAATTCAAACTCCGTGGAAGTTGGGGGATCTGGGGAGCGGGTTTAAGGTTTAAGGATCTCTGATTCTGTGATTTCCACCTTTTACACCGGGCTGGTTCATGGGGCTTTTTCCACCCACGGGCTTTTAAATCGTGTCAATGAGATCAGGGTCCTGCCATGTCTGCAGGGAGGAGATTCCTCAGGCCAGGAATATTTGGAAAAACCAGGACCTGCTGCGGGCGCCGGGTGTGCTCCTCCGGGGGTGGGGGGTGTTTTCTCTCTCTTCCCCTGTTTGATTTGTGAAAAGGAGGGAAAAGGAGGGAAACGGCAGCCGTGTTTGCTCAGTTCTTGGGCGAAGGCACCCGGGCCGCGGGCGTTATCTGGGAGATAGCGCTGGGTTATCTGGGAAACGGGCTCCGCTCGATAACGAGGGGTCACGGGGGCCACGTCTCCTTGGCTCAGGGCTCGGCGGGGCTCGTGCCGCAGCCGGGGTGAAAAACGGGGTGTCCTGTCCTTAAGGCAGGACCCCAAAACCGACCCTGCTCCTGGGGGGTCTCCCTGTCCCCCCAGCTCGGTGGTGAGGAGCTAGCGGCGCGTGGAGTCATTTTATTATATTTTTTTTAATTTTTTTTTTCTAGCAACGATACTTCATCTGATTTAATAATATATTTCAAAACACGGAAACAATGGGAGCTGTTTCCTAATGGATAAAACGTGTCACAACGCTTTAATTTTTGGCTTTTGAAAGGTGGTTCCTTTTCACTTCTGCCCCTCTCGGACCCCTCCAGGGGTCTCC